TGCTGGGATCCACCGGGATCCACTGGGAGTGCTGGGATCCACTGGGGTGTACTGGGATCCACTGGGATCTACCGGGTGCGCTGGGATCCACTGGGATCCAGCGGGTGTGCTGGGATCCACTGGGATCTGCTGGGGTCCTCTGGGATCCACTGGGTGTACTGGGTGTACTGGGATCCACTGGGGTGTACTGGGATCCACTGGGGTGTACTGGGATCCACTGGGTGTGCTGGGATCCACCGGGACCCACCGGGATCTACTGGGTGTGCTGGGTGTACTGGGATCCACTGGGATCTGCTGTAGTACACTGGGATCCACTGGGTGTGCTGGGATCCACCGGGACCCACCGGGATCTACTGGGTGTGCTGGGTGTACTGGGATCCACTGGGATCTGCTGTAGTACACTGGGATCCACTGGGTGTGCTGGGATCCACCGGGACCCACCGGGATCTACTGGGTGTGCTGGGTGTACTGGGATCCACTGGGATCTGCTGTAGTACACTGGGATCCACTGGGTGTGCTGGGATCCACCGGGACCCACCGGGATCTACTGGGTGTGCTGGGTGTACTGGGATCCACTGGGATCTGCTGTAGTACACTGGGATCCACTGGGTGTGCTGGGATCCACCGGGACCCACCGGGATCTACTGGGTGTGCTGGGTGTACTGGGATCCACTGGGATCTGCTGTAGTACACTGGGATCCACTGGGTGTGCTGGGATCCACCGGGACCCACCGGGATCTACTGGGTGTGCTGGGTGTACTGGGATCCACTGGGATCTGCTGTAGTACACTGGGATCCACTGGGTGTGCTGGGATCCACCGGGACCCACCGGGATCTACTGGGTGTGCTGGGTGTACTGGGATCCACTGGGATCTGCTGTAGTACACTGGGATCCACTGGGTGTGCTGGGATCCACCGGGACCCACCGGGATCTACTGGGTGTGCTGGGTGTACTGGGATCCACTGGGATCTGCTGTAGTACACTGGGATCCACTGGGTGTGCTGGGATCCACCGGGACCCACCGGGATCTACTGGGTGTGCTGGGTGTACTGGGATCCACTGGGATCTGCTGTAGTACACTGGGATCCACTGGGTGTGCTGGGATCCACCGGGACCCACCGGGATCTACTGGGTGTGCTGGGTGTACTGGGATCCACTGGGATCTGCTGTAGTACACTGGGATCCACTGGGTGTGCTGGGATCCACCGGGACCCACCGGGATCTACTGGGTGATTTTGGGGGGGTTTGGGGGGGTTTTGGGGTGCGGGGAAATGGGGGGGGTCCCCGGTGCACCCCGAAATGTCCTTGACGAGCCCCCCCCCAGAGCGACACCACCGGGAAATTGGGGTTTGAGGAGTTCAAGTACCTGTGGAACAACATCAAGAAGTGGCAGGTGAGCACCCCAAAATTTTGGGGTGGGTGGGATCCCCGAAATCGGGGAGGACCCCAAAAATATGGGGTGGGAGGCCGAAATTGAATGAGATCCCAAAATTGGGGTGCTCAGGGTGGAAAGGGACCCCGAAAAGGCGAAATTGGGGGGGGTCCCAAAATAAATGAGCCCCGAAATTAAGGGAAAACCCCAAAATTTGGGGGGGGGAACCCCGAAAAATTGGGATGGGAAAATCCCAGGTGGGATTTCCAAAATCCGGGGTTACTCACAACTGGGGAAGACCCCAAAATTAGGGGGGCACCCCAAAAAATGGGACCCCTCCCCAAAAAATGAGGACCCCCCCAAAAAATCGATGTGGGAACCCAAAATCAGGGACACCCCAAAATCGAGGGAGGAACCCAAATTTTGGGGTGAGACCCCAAAATTTCTCCTCTTAAATTCCCAAAAACATGAAGGGGGGGGGGTTATAGGGACCCCCCCCAAACACCCCAAAATTTGGGAGGGGGGGGTAATTAGTGTGGGGGTGGGCACCCCAAAAATTCGGATTTAAGGATTTTAAAGTCCCTGAAATGGGGGTGGGGGGAGGATTTTTGGGGGTTTGGGAGGGTCCCCAAATTTTGGCGAGGGGGTTCAGGGGATTTTTGGGAGAATTTTGGGGGGCAGGAATTCGGGGGGTCAGCAGGGGGACGGTGGGAAGAAGTTTTGGGGTGACAGTTTGGGAATATTCAAGGGTGACCCCAAAACCCCCCCAGAATTTGGGATTTTGGGGGGGTCACAGGCATTTTTGGGGGCGTGATTTTGTGTCAGGTCACAATTATTCGTTTTTTTTTGGGTGCGAAAACGGAAATATTTGAATTTCTTGGGGCCGTTTTGAGGGGAATTGTCCGATTTTGGGGGGGTTTGAAGGCATTTTTGGGGGGTCAAAGGTCACCTGCGCCCCCCCCCCAGGGTTCCGGCTGCCCCCCCCGCTGTGGGCGGTTTTGGGGCGTCGCTATGGAGACGAGGGGGGGAACCTCGACTTTGACAACTTCATCAGCTGCCTCGTGCGCCTGGACGCCATGTTCCGTACGGGAGCCGAAATTGGGGGGGGGACCCCGAAATTGGGGGGGGAAACCCGAAATTGGGGGGGAAACACGAAATT